ACCAGGACTATCTCCCACTTGACCTTTCAGCCGCGACGATGGTGAGTGCCTCCAACGACTCAGTTACCAGCATGTGCTAGTGTACAAATAACTTCTTCCAGGCAATTTGCAAGTACAATTGAAGAAAAAACTGACGTCCGCACGCTTACTTGTGCGTGTTGTGTCTCTACAATGTTGGTGTAGTAATAGTTGTGTGTAACATGCATGTGTGGGTGTGTATTGTATTGTATTGTGCAACGATCGCTGTGAAGTGAGATGTGTATGCGCTGACCGATGCGAACTGACTGAATAAAAGGACCAACAGTATTGTCCTCCGATTAATATACATTACAATTAGCAAGCATCAATTGGGCAGCAATATTGTATATTTGTTCTTACAAATATCAACCCTCAGCAATACTGAAATTATCCTTGCCAGATGTGCTTATAGACCTAACAGATACAGCGTTTTCATAAATCCTTGTTATGACTAAGCTTTTCCCTTGGGCAACGCCGGCTGGCTCATCGGAATTCTCCTTGGGTGTGTGGTTCCAACCCTATGCCCGCGTGAGTCGCACAATAACCGATAACACGGTTCCTCCATCGATTTTAACCAAAATGCCATCACACACAATTAATTCCACGCGCAATAACAAACAAAATTCAAAATGTAAACAAACCAAAAATAACTAACATGACACAAAAGAAACACTTATGCAAAAAAAAGAAACGGATCTACACGGATACGGACTCAAAAAAACAAAAGGAACTACATCTGTATGTGCGGACGGACAGGAATTGGTGGCACCAGACAACTGTATGGGATGCAGCTGGAAATATCCCAGGCGTACCCACCCTGCCTGTATCCAAAGGCAACATTTTTATTGGATACCCTAACATTGGGCCGTGCTTGGGCTATTCCATGGCACAGGTGAGTCTCCCGCCCCTACTGATGCTGCTTTAATGCATCATCATGAACGGTGCGACCATTAAAATTAACAATTAATTTTCAGTTTATGTGACGACAAACATACATATATTTGAGTGTGATTGAGTGTGAGGTGCAAACAATGTAAACAGTGAACAAGAATATAAAAAAAAAAAATATAGAAATATGTATAGCAAAACCCTAACGAGAGCTCTCGACGGTCATGGGCGCAATAGAAATATTAGACTACGTGTAAAACACTGCGCGCTACTGCAATTGGCAATCTTCCTTTACATGAAGTCGCTTATTTTAAATCTCTATGAGTGCTTCCTAAGTGTACATATGTATTTCTTTTTTCTTTTTTTTATTTATTACGGAGCGCCAAGCTCCGTTTTGGCACTGCTTTCTGCCTCTTTTGTACTTGTTTCAATTAAATGTATATATTAAGGTTATCTTCTCTTCTTCGTTAGACAACGATTTGGTGCGGCGCGTGGGACCCTTCAGATGCAGCTCATATACAAATTACAGGACGAACGGCGCGTGGGATCTCTGTCTGGTTGTTGCTGCTCAAACGCAAACAACAGGCACGGCGCGTGGCCAAGGAACGGACTCACCGGCTTTTCTATCCTCCGCTGCTGATGGCGCAGACTGACGTGGCTGCTGTTGCTGCTGCTACGATGCAGCTATTGATGGCGCTGCTGTTGCGCTGTGGATGGCGGTGTCGCTGCCGTTGTGGAATTGGCTGCTACTGGTGCGCCAAAATTACGCTGCTGCCGTCGCGATGCAGCATATGCTGCTCCTTGTGATGGCCGCTGATGGTGGTGCCGCTGCAGCTAATGATGGCGGTGCCGCTGAAGTCGCGCTGGCACTGCTGCTCTTTTGGAGTGGTCGCCTTTGCTACGGCTGCCACTGTTGTTGCTGCTTATGATGACCGCTGCAGCTGTTGTGCACGGTTCTACCGCTGTCCAAAACTTGGCGATATGCCGGAAAATCTATGCGCCGAGGAACAAAAGGCATTTAAGCATGGGTCGGCACATTCAAGTGGATATATATATATATGGGTACGTATACGCTTTTCTTTTGTAATTCCAGGTCTCCGCTCACTCCAAAGAAAACTTTAACTTTCTAAATTTTCGGCGTCTTCCGTAGCGCTGCCACCTTTCTGTTTTGTTCCCAGCCCGATGCAACACCACCGCAAATATTCAAGTGGGCGGACGCTCGCGCCATGAAGTGATGTTTGCGCGCATCAAACGGCTGGTATTGTTGGTGTCTTCCGCTTCGATTCCGGCGTTGCCTCGGATGACTACTTCGCCCAACGTCGGGCCACACCCACTCTTGATTTTCTGGTGAGTAGCTCTGGCTGCATTCTCCTCCTTCTACTCATCCATACTACTTTATGACAGGCGTCACACTCGGATGTCCTTTGCGTGGAATGCACCCTCCTCACGCGAGCCTTTAGAAACTTTCGGGCGAATTTCGCATTAAACGCGCGACTGAAGTCACTCAGCACGAAGTTCCGCCGGTATACCTCTTGACCGGGCGCTAGTCTTAGCCGCCGCGCACGCCTGTTATAGCGAAAGCTACTGCGCTCATACGCCGCATGTAATTGTGCCTGGACTTTCTGTTGCACCAGGGATTGCCTGTCTGCTGTACTCAACGCTGCGAATTCGTGCTCGTCTAAGGACCTTAATTTCCTCGCCAATCGATGCTGCGCACCGTGCAACATCATATGTCGGCCGAATAGTGCAAAAAAAGGCGTTACTCCAGTCGCAGAATGCACGCTGTTTCTGATGGCCACCTCAATTTCCGGAAGGTGGAGGTCCCACTCGCGGTGATCCTGCTCCAGATACGCACGTATCGCGGCCAGTATCGTCCGGTTCACCCTCTCGGACGCGTTGCTTTGCGGCGAATACACCGGTGTCCGCAGATGCTTGACACCGTAGCCCTCCATCATGTCTGCGAACTGCTTGGATGTGAATTGCCTACCATTGTCGGAGTGTATGACTTCCGGAACGCCGAACGTATGGAAGACTTCGTTCACCAAGAAGTCGACGACGCTCCGTGCAGTGGCCTCCCGCATCGCTTTCAGGAACGTGAATTTGGGGAAGTGATCTACCACTATGAATAAGAAGGCGTGCCCCTTCCTTGATCGCGGATACTTGCCCAAGAAGTCTATGTATAACTTCTGGAACGGCCTCTCCGTGACGACTTCTGCACCAATTCCCACCTGCATCCCGTGATTGGTGGCTTTCGTCTCCTTGCAGACTACGCATTTTTGGACCATCTCAGCAACGTCTTTGGCCATTCCGGGCCAATAAAACTGCCGCCGTAGCCAGGACAACGTCTTCAATACTCCTCCATGCGTTGACGCTTCGGTATGGGCCTTTACTATAAGCATGCCGGTCACGCACTGCCTTCGAGCTGATCTTCTAGCCGATTGAAGGATGTCTTTTTGTAGATCACTCTGTTCTCAATTTTCAAGTCAGGTAATTTGTTTTTTTGCTTTTGAATTTCGCTAATCAGCTCTCGATACTCCCCTGACTCAAATTCTGCCGTTTCTATACCCAACAGGTCTCCTGGAAGGAAATCCAACTCCTCTAAAGCTTCGGCTTTGGTGCTCCTGGACAGCATATCCGCCACGATGTTGTCGGAGCCCTTCCGATGCGTGATTTCAAAGTCGAAACCTTGCAGCAGCAACGACCAACGTGCCAATCGCCCGGACAAATCCTTCATGGACATCAGCCATTTCAAACTGGCGTGATCGGTTATAACCGTGCACGGCATCATTTCGATGTATGGCCGGAATTTTTGTATCGCCAATACCGCCGCCAAGCACTCCTTCTCGGTCACCGAGTATTTTACCTGGCGCTTATTCATCTTCATATTCAGCGGCGTTACACAATCCAAATGGCATCATGCGGAATTGGTACAACGGTCGCCCTGGTACCGTAAACGCAGTGCACCTTCTACTGGACTCCTCCAACTCCACTTGCCAAAACGCCAATTTCAGGTCTACACTGGAAATATAATATGTCTGATCGATTCCAGATAGGATTCCCTCCACGCATGGTAGCGGATAGGCATCTTTGACTGTCAGTTTGTTCAACTTGCGGGCATCGAGGCAAAAGCGGTTCTTGCCCGGCCGTCGCACTATGGTGGTGCGGTTACTCCACGGACTATCGCTTACCTCGATGACGCCAAGCGCCAGCATGCTGTCCACCTCATCCCACACAATCTTTTGCCTAGCGGGTGATAGAGGATAGTGCCTGTCTTTCACTGGCTCTGCTCCGCTGACCAATTCAATAAGGTGAGTCTCCAAAGTAGTCTTGCCTAATCCCGCTTCTTCGAAAGTTAAAAATTCTTTTTTTACTTGTTCCAATTTCAGCTTTTGTTGTTCATTTAATTCCCACATATCTGGTTCCGGCTTTACTTCATCCTGGTCCACATAATGCGCCACTCTATCAGCTAGCAATTCATCGAGGACAAGTCTTTTAACGGCAGGCTTTTCCGGAGGAATTAATTGTGGAGCCAAATTAAACAGCCGCCAAAAGTCGCTGCCGAAATACGCGTTCTGCCCGAGCGATGGGCATACATAAAACTCCACCTCTTTGGTATCCCGCCCAATTACGGCTCGATCTTCACCGCCTGCTGTTTTCATTATTGAAATGTATTTTCTGGGCACCACGCCAATCTCTTTCAGTAGTTCAAGACTGCCCTTGCCTAGCACGCTTACCGAGGCCCCGGTATCCAGCAAACCGCGTAGCACATGGCCTCGTACCAGTACTTCGGCAAAAATCCTCGGATCTGCTGCTCCTTCGCGTCGCACTGCCTCGGCTACCAGCTTCTTCGTCTGCCTTCTTACTCGGAATCGTGCTCGGGCCTTTTTAACTTTGGCGGTCACCATCCTCATGCCATCCAGCTGATGTTGTTCTATTGCGCGCCTCCAGATTTGTCCGCATCTTTTCCTCGTACGGTAAAAATTTCAACTTATTACTATATTGGGTATTTTTCTTATCAAATTCTTCTTTCAGGACCGCTCCGCTGTCATCCTGATGGGCACCTGTGTTGAGCGCGATTCGCCCACTTGCTCCGCACTCCGACGGCCGTTTCCCGTGCAATCGGGACAGGTTGGACTATAGGTGTCGGGCCTGCCACACCTATAACAGAAGACGCGCCTTTCCGGTGACATGCAGTCGCGGAAACTATGGCCGGCTTGTCTGCAGTTCCAGCAAACTAACGCCTGTTGCGGACGCCTTGCCAAACGCGCCTCTTCAACTACGCCGAAATCCGCCGACTCCTCGCCGTTAGTGTCGTCGACCAACTCCTCCACTGCCGGTGGACGGTTTCCGCCACTAAAACGTGTGCCGCTGCGTGTTGGGAACACGCCTTCTCGCCGCTGGACCATAGCTTCCACCTCTACGCATTCGTCACGTAAGTGGTCTACCGTGTACACGCGCATCGCATACACATAACGAGGTAGTTCTATTTTTAATCCTTTTTTTATATATTTCATCATCTCGTTTTCAGATGGTGCTGTGTGGAGACGCGACGCCAGTTTCCTCATGGCATGGAAGTACTCCTCAACGCTTTCGCTTGCCTTCTGCCGTCTTTCGCGCAATTGACGCATGCGCTCGAATTCATCGGCGGCGCCTTTAAAACGGGACAGCATGCTTCGTTTTAGTTCTGGCCAGCTGTCTGCCCGGTGGTCCCTGACGTACTGCCAGTACCACTCGCGAGCGTGCCCAGTTACTAACAGATGGAAACTGTTTAATACTTCGGACCATGCGCAGCGACACTGCCTCTGAAGGAACTCGACCTGGAAAACGAAGTCTTCAACAGCCATTTTTTCCTTATCGCCGCTGAAAACGATGTCCCACTTTTCGACGCGGCACCATCCGGATCTGCCATTCGCCGCTACATACGGAGGAGGCGGGTCCAGCTGACCACTCCCATCGTTACGCCTGTTGCCTCTTCGACGGGCCGACGGTGCTGCGGGATTTTGCCAATTTCGAGCTGTGCTGCTGCTATTGCCAGCTCCACTGGAGGAATTAGCTGCCGCTGGCCTTGCTACTGGACGCGAAGTTCCTCTTGCTGGTGTTAGAGGTTCAGCCTGGTATTGATGCGGCCGTTTTGGCACCGCACCCCGATTCTGGCTGACTGGCGGTTGCCATGCTCCATTTGCAGCTGAATCGCCGCTATTCGCTCGCGGTTGCAAAACTTCTTTCAACGCGCCCATCAAGTCTTGAAACCCCATTCGGATTTCCTCCTGCAACACTTTGTTGATGCCCTCTTTTTGCGATTGGCGGTATGTTTCGTTCGCCTGGGCCACTGCTGCTTCTACCACCGACGCGACTACTGGCTCGGCGTCCCAGTGTACTGCTGGTGCTATGGACGGCCTCGGAGGAGTGTGCATGAGGCCACCGGTGGAAAAACCTACGGCTCCTTCTAGGTGTTCCTCCAGCACTGGATCATCATTTCTGGCCGTTCTCGACCTGGTGTTATACGCACGCGCAGAATCCTTTTCCATCTCAATCCAAAAAAAATACGCTCTGTTTTTTTATAATATTTATTTATATTTTGGATTGTGAATTTGTTCAGCTTTCAAGCAGGCCCCGAAGAAAAAATCGTATTAATTGGATAATTGTATATATGTATTCCAAACAATGAAAATGTTTGCAAACGCCCAAAACAACAAAAACAAATGGGCAAGAAAATATATGTACGCTGAATATGTATGATGGATAAATAAATAAATAGGTACAACAATAAATAGATAAATATGTGAATTGGAATAAATAAATATGAATATAGTAGTAAAAATAAAAAAACAAATCTTTAAATAAATTCACGTCCAACTTTGCACGGAAACCAAAAAAAAATATATACGCTCAACCACAAGACAAATGTAACATATGTATATGCACCAAACGTAACCAAAAAGACCTAATAAAATGTAAGCAATAAACAAACAAATTTTCTTTTAAACTTCTGTATATAGGGGCTGAGACTCACACTCAGCCGGAACCCAAACACGGCTCCTATAATATCTACGCCTGTACAGCTGCCCTACGCCACAATCCTGCAATATCTGTTCGCTGCTACATTTATCGCCTTGACGGCGATGAACGACAGCCAACAAATTAAATGGTTGCTTCTTGACACCCAATTCTGTTTTGTGCACCATCTGCTCTGGCTCACCGTGCGTAGCGGTGCATCGCAGGCGACTTTCCTAGTCATCCTGGGCCACCGGTACTCTACGTCCACCAGGCAAACACGATGACACCACAGCGACAGTGCACCAACGAATTGACGCAAGAAATACAACAAAAACACTGAAACGAAATAACAAAAAAAACGCGCATTGGAATCCCCCCATAGTACCCCTTGCCTAGCGTCGTTCCAAATGGCAGTCGCAAACGAAGGGCTCATACTCGCTCCTTCGTGACTTACTGTCCATGTCACACACGCTTGCAGTTGGTGCTATAAGGGATTCCGTCCCTACCATACCGATCGTCGGCCCCTAGCCATCGGCTTAATTTTTTTTTTTCCTATCTAAATTCTCCGCCTGCGTACGGCGGCTGCCTAGACTCCTCCCCAAAAGTGGTACAGGGCCCTAAACAACTCCACCTACTCCTTGGCATTAAAAATTCAAACATCCAAAATTGGGCGCCATATTGTTACGACTACGCTTTTCCTCTTGGGCAACGCCGGCTGGCTCATCGGAATTCTCCTTGGGTGTGTGGTTCCAACCCTATGCCCGCGTGAGTCGTACAATAACCGATAACACGGTTCCTCCATCGATAAACAAAATGCCATCACTACAATAAATTCGACGCGCAATATACAAAACCGAATTCAAAACGTAAACAAACCAAAAAAAACTAACATAAACTAAAAGAACCGTAATGCGACAAAAAAACAAATAAACGGATAACTCCCTCAAGCCATCCGTACGAATACGGGTGACTGTAAAAGGAGATTATATACGTGCGGACGGACAGAAATTGTGGCATCGGACAACTGTGTGGGATTTTGCTGTTGTTATCCCAGGCGTACCCACCCTGCCTGTATCCAAAGGCAAAATGTTTCTTGGATACCCTTTATTTGGGCCGTGCTTGGGCTATTCCATGGCAAAGGTGAGTCTCCCGCCCCTACTGATGCTGCTTTAATGCATCATCACCAACGGTGCGACCATTAAAATTAACAATTAATTTTCAGTTTATGTGGCTACAAACATACATATATTTCAGTGTGATTGAGTGTGAGTGCAAACAATGTAAACATGGAACAAGAATTTTTATATAAAAACAAAATAAAGAAGGCTTGCCAACGGCCAATGCGGTTCTTTATGTGCGCAAACATGCAAGTATGTTTATGGCAAATAAATATAGATATATGTGTATGTGTATAAAAAAATATGCGCGGTACTAAAAAATTATAGAAAAATGTCTAACCAAATCCTAACGAGAGCTCTCGACGGTCATGGGCGCAATAGAAATATAAGACTAATATAAAACACTGCGCGCTACTGCAATTGGCAATCTTCGTACAATATAAGTGTATAAGAGTGTGAATTTTTTATTAATTAAATAGAGCGCCAAGCTCTGTCTAGGTGCCACTTTCTGCCTCGTTTTGGTTTTAATGATCTATGTATATATATTTTGTTTTATCTTCTTTTTTTTTTCTCTTTTGCAGAAACTTCAATGGGGCGGCGTGTGGGACCCTGCAGGCGCAGCCCATACAAAACGACACGACGTAAGGCGCGCGGGATCTCTGCCTGATGTTGCTGCTCAACCGCGAACAATAGGCACGGCGCGTGGCCAAGGAACGGACTCACCGGCTTTCTATCCTCCGCTGCTGATGGCGCAGACGGACGTGTCTGCTGTTGCGTTGTGGTGGCGCCGCTATTGCTGCTGCTACTTCTCGGGTGGGCGCCTTTGCTCCGGCTGCCACTGTCGTTGCTGCTGCTGCCGTTGAAGACGCTGGTGCTGGATCTGCTGCTGTCGTTGTTGCTCCTGCTACGATGCAGCTCGTGCTGCTACTTATGACGGCCGCTGCAGCTGCTGTGTATGGTTCCACCGCTGTCCGAAAACTTGGCGATATGCCGGAAAATCTATATGCCAAGGAACAAAAGGCATTTAAGCACTGGTCGGCACATTTAAGTGGATATACAGGTATGTATACATCGGCATTAGTTCTGCCTTGCATCTATATCCTTATGCTCACCTTCGAACGGCTTCTGGTTCTTCCTTTCCTTTTTCAGGTTTCAGCACGGCCTCCAGTTCACCAAAAGAAAACACTGCCTCGTGGGTCTGCACCGTCGCCCCAAAAACAGGAATGGCGTGTTGCGGCTTGCCTTTTATAGGCCGGATGTCGTATGCCTGCGGATTTTTACGTCCTTGCGCATCCGTTCATCACGGCCTTGACGTTTCCCCACTTTGAGGTGCCATCGGGACACAACCCTGCGCCTGCGTGGCTGCAGTTGCCACCATGGTGCCTCGCTCGGTACCGCTAGATGGCGCTGCAGTACCTTTATAAATTCTTGCCGCCTTCCGTAGCGCTGCCACCTTTTATTCTTCGTGACCAGCCCGATGCAACATCACCGCAAATATCCAAGTGGGCGGACGCTCGTGCCCCGAAGTGATGTTTGCGCGCATCAAACGGCTGGTGTTGTTGGAGTCCTCTGCTTCGAGTCCGGCGTTGCCTCGGATGACTACTACCGCGGCGCCCAACGTAGGCCACACCCACTCTTGATCTTCAGGTGAGTAGCTCTGGCTGCATCCTCCTCCCTATATTCATCCATTCTGCCTTAGGACAGGCGTCACACTCGGATATCCTTTGCGTGGAATACCCCCAGCAAGTTCCCTTGCAAATCTTCCAGCTCGTATGCGTTGGTGCCGATGGATTTCCTTACGCGAGCTTTTAGAAATTTCCGCGCGAATTTCGCATTGAACGCGCGGCTGAAATCACTCAATGCAAAGTTTCGCCGGTATACCTCCTGACCGGGCGCTAGTCTTAGCCGCCGCGCACGCCGGTTATAGCGAACGCTACTGCGCTCATACGCCGCATGCAATTGTGCCTGGATTTTCTGTTGCAACAGGGATTGCCTGTCTGCTGTACACAACGCTGCGAATTCGTGCTCGTCTAAGGACCTTAATTTCCTCGCCAATCGGTACTGCGAACCGTGCAACATCATATGTCGGCCGAATAGTGCGAAAAAAGGCGTTACTCCAGTCGCAGAATGCACGCTGTTTCTGATGGCCACTTCAATTTCCGGAAGGTGTAGGTCCCACTCGCGGTGATCCTGCCCCAGATACGCCCGTATCGCGGACAGTATAGTCCGGTTCACCCTTTCGGACGCGTTGCTTTGCGGCGAATACACCGGTGTCCGCAGATGCTTAACACCGTAGCCCTCCATCATGTCTGCAAACTGCTTGGACGTGAATTGCTTACCATTATCGGAGTGTATGACTTCTGGAACGCCGAACGTATGGAACACTTCGTTCACCAAGAAGTCGACGACGCTCCGAGTGGTGGCCTCTCGCATCGCCTTCAGGAACGTGAATTTGGTGAAGTGATCTACCACTATGAATATGAAGGCGTGCCCCTTCCTTGATCGCGGATACTTGCCCAAGAAGTCTATGTATAACTTCTGGAACGGCCTCTCCGTGACGACTTCTGCACCCATTCCCACCTGCATCCCGTAATTGGTGGCTTTCGTCTCTTTGCAGACCACGCATTTTCGGACCACTTCAGCAACGTCTTTGGCCATTCCCGGCCAATAAAACTGCCGCCGCAGCCAGGCAAACGTCTTCAACACTCTTCCATGAGTTGACGCTTCGGTATGGGCCTTCGATATAAGCATGCCGGTTAGCGCACGCGGAACCCACAGTTTCCACACA